GGGCGTTGCTTGTATATAGTTTATATATTTTATTTTCTGCTACGGTTTCAATAATTTTCGCTTTTCATTTGTTGTCGCGTATTAGTTTTTTTCGCGCAACGTGCGAACTGTGCAACGGACAGCGGCCAACTGACTTACTAAACGCTACTCTGGCCAGCCTTAAAGTCGCTTCACTTCTCTTCAGCTCCCTCCGCCTCGGCTCACTTCTGTTCCGTCCCGTCTCCGGCCATTGAGCCGCACTGTGTCTGCGACTAAACTACGACAACAACTGAATTGGGTAGCCCCCAAAACAACCAAAATATATAATGATAAATTCGCAGTGCTGCTGCCGGTTTTTGTCGTGTTTGTTTTGGTCTGATATTATAATTGCGAGTGGGCAACGGCAAGAGGTTTGGCATTGGCTTGCGAATCGGATGGGATGGGATGGGATGGGTTGGAATGGGTACTGTTGTGGGATTGGCGCGTTAAAATGTATTTACACATTCATTGAATGTGTTTTAAGCGATTCTCATTTGTTTACCAGAAAAAAATAAAAACAAAGCACACTGTAAAACACGGGTATATATTTAATTGACAGCTGAATAACATCGCCAGACGTCGAGTTGAACTGAAATAACCCCGAGGCTTTTTTTTAACCAATATAATAATGATGGCATAATATACTTGCACATGTTTCATAAGTAGGTGCTAAGTACCTGTCTAAATAGCTGATGATGTGTCTTAGACACTATGAAAATTTGCGAGCGGAAGGTGAGCAATGTTGAAGCTGTTCAAGTGAATCTATGACCGCAACGACTGAGTTAATTATTTTAAGCTAAATGCTTATAAAGTCTTCTTTAATCTAGCCAGGTTGCCAAAAGTATATACTGTGGTTAGAGAAGTCACTTTATATTATTAAAAACAGAATAAATATTGTCCTTGCTTAAACGGTTTTATATTCGTTTGGCAATATTCTGATTTCATTATTTACTGTACTTAATTATTCAGTTCACACAAATGTATATATTATTATTATTAAATTTTATTATTATACCCTGAACCCATTAAAAATGGATAAAAAGGGTATATTGTATTTGTGCAAATGTATGTAAAGTATATATCTTCTTGATCAGCATCAACAGCCGAGTCGATCTAGCTATGTCCGTCTGTCTGCCCGTCCGTCCGTCCGAACGCAAGGATCTTAGAAACTATAAGAGCTAGACACTTGAAATTTAACTGTAGGCCCTCCTAGTGCCTGCGCAGATCGAGTTTGTTTCCGATAATCAATAAGTTATTCAGTTTCCAAGCAATCGATAAAAATCGATGTCGGAATTCTCTTTTTTGAGCAAATTGGGTAAGTAATAAGAGCTAGAGTCACCAAAAGTAATATGTTTACTCTAGAATAGTATATAAATATCAAGTATCTTTCATTTTATACCTATCGCCACCTCCCCGCTACTACCTCATAGCAATAAATCAAGTCAATAACCCAACTTCTATTGTCCATCAATTTAAGCTACAATTTTAATCCAATTAACTTTTTGAGAATACACGAATATTGAGGGATTTTACACACTATACGTATATATATTTATTTGTTTATTAACTCTGTGTTCACTTTTTATTAAAATCTACTAGATTAGATTTTGGTGAATCAAAAGAAATCAAATAAGCTCAGAAAGTTTGCCCCAAAAACGTTACCCCAAAAGCTCAATTAAGATGGGTTTCAAACCAAAAAGCTCGGACAAAGCTTTCAAAATATCCTCAGTGGAATTTACCTCGCACCGGAGGCTCTGAATCTGTTTACTTTTCCCAGGATATTGCTCAACCGTAACCACATAATAGAGCAGAGATTTAGCACGCATTAAACAACATCAAAATAAACAAACAATTTCGCAGACAATTGGTTCAAGCAGTTCAAGCAGCTACAGCGAATTGTGCTGTGAGAGCTGTGGGTTAGTGGTTAGGGGTGGGGTGAGATTATCCTGCGGAAAAGTGGTCGCTGTTTGCCGGTCGTGCGTCAGCGTGGAAATTCACAGACAAATTTGCTCTGGCCATGTCTGGTGTGGATGCAAAGCGCTAATCGATATGTTCCAGACGTAAGTCCTCGATCCAGACAGCCCAAAGCCAAGTTACCAGCTAGGGTTGGTGTGGAGTGTGTGTGAAAGAGTGTGTTTGATGGGCGCTGCTCCAGTTGAGTGCACTACGAAAACGTCTTGACACCACCAATCTGTTTGTTGTTGCTGTTGATTGTACGTTGCCGTGCGTCAATCACTGAAGGTTTTTTTTTAATGACTGGCAGTGATTGGGCTGAATATAACCAGTTATTTATAAACCTTGGAAATGCGTCTTCTGTGGGCTTAGTGTCTACTTTTCAGAGAACAGGGAATAGAAACTTATATAAGGCTATTTTTGTAATATCAAGAGGGTACTTCCTTTAGTTTAAACATGTATAAAAAATAAAAAAAGTATTCTTTAAAGAAGGTTGAACTTTATGTGTAAGTAAATTCTATATCTTCTAGCTATATAGAATTTACTGCAACCATGCCCAAGTCTGTGAAGTGCCCAAGTTCTTAACATATACGTTTATTTGTACAAGCTCACGATACATTATTTTTATCTTCGCTAAGTCTCTGTCCCCATCCTTTTTCTTCTTCTTAAAGAACAGTGAAAGGAGAATGAAATATTAAAACATACATATTAATATACATGCATAGAAAAATACAAAGAGATACTGCTAGACTAATCAAATTAAAATCCTATAAGCCTTGTATGAGATTTTGAGAATCACATAGTAGGGCAAAGTATTTCGCAAAAGCGAAGTAAACATTTTTAATGTAGATATATACACATATGTATACAAAAACTCAACTAGATGAATTTGATTAGGTACTTTAATTAAACATTTATATATCATACAATAATATAAATAAAGCTTTTGTTGTGGCCTTGAGGATATTTTTATTACTCTTTTCTTCTATCTAACCCTACGTAGTCAAATTGAGATCCGTTTAAATCCTTTTCAAAATAAACATATGCGTATGAATACTTATTTGGTTTGACAGGCCAAGAAGCGACAAGTACGATTATATGCAAATCAAATGAGAATGAATTGCTTATTTCCGTTCTTTCCCACAGTCGGTCAAGTCCAAGTGGAAGCGTGCATTGGCGATTATCGCCTAGCTCGGGCGCACTCGTTTGAAATGCGATAATTTAATTGTGGTCCAATGACATATCCGCCGCACAGCTTCAACAATAACAACAACAACAACAACAACAACAAGCAACAAGAGCAAGTATAGTAAGGTACCAGTCATTGCTGGGCGATATTCAGTCGAGGGGTTGTTGCAGCGATTGCCAAAGTTAAATTAACAATCGTGTTTACATTGGTTTGTAACAAGATTTCACTTAAGGATGTCAGCTTTGTGCTTGCACCGGTTCGCAGGACACCAGGCGCCGGGCCACTTACCCTGCATCAAAACTGATTACTGTCATCAGCTTTGTGCGCCGCGGAGTGTGCGCCGGCGTGCGTGTGCCAACCAATTTGACTGGTAATGAAAAGGTTTGCGCATCCGCGTCCGCCCTAGCATATTGTTTGGGCATTGTTCGACTTTGCCGGCGCTGGTTTTTCGCGCCTCGGGGTTAGCGCACGCGACCTGGTCGCCTGCCTGGGCGGGGCGGGGCGGCTGAGCTGCTCTGACGTAGCTAATTTGTGCGTAAACCAAAACATCAAATAAACATAATTCAATTTGAACAATTGCCCCGTCTGTCTGCTGTTGACAATTCTGCGGTTTCAAGTGCTGCCCTTTGAGATACAGATACATAGATGTATCCCTAGCAATGACACTATATATGCACATGTAGATAGTGCGGCATTTGTTAAATGAACTGTGAACTGTAACGGACTGCTATGCGATGTGATCTGATTGTTGCAGTTTCGCGCTCAATTTGACGTCTCGTGGGAAGCTGACTGTGCCGAGTAACCCTCTAGCTCGAGGCCAAAATGTCAACAGGTTGGATCACGATCAGCTTTCGAAAGCGATGCGCCTCCATGTTGATCTCATATTACTAACAGACCACACGAGAACCTTAAAGCACACATGCCACAAACCTGCCAAGCTGCCGTCAACCGGGATAGAGTGCAAGAGACGGCACAGAGAGAGAGAGAGAGAGAGAGAAAGTTATACTCTCTTGGTGGCCCCCTGATTTTGGGCGTTCATATACAAAGCTTGCCAGGACAAACATGGCTGCCGCCTGCTGGGCGAAAAATATTGGCAAAATGTCAAAAACAGGTTAAGTACAGAAGGGAAATTTTAGGAAGTAAGTTATGGGAACTGTAAAATGCGCTACATAAAAAACTTTGCAAAGCTATTTATAAAATACATATATACATTTCATGACATTATCTGCACATATTTTTTGTAAGTAACACATTCTTATACATTTCCAAAAGTATCCAACGGCGCATATGGCTACAGATATATTAAAAGCTATTTAATTAATATATACTGGATAAGAGATACGAATGCGTGGAATATCTACCTTCTTTTCGTTGTTAAAGTTTAAAGTTTAAATAAACTAGTGAAAATAAAGCAACATATATCGTATGAGATTTTAGTTCATTTACCTTTGCTTTCAGAAATATAAACATTTTAAACCCGATGCGACATTTAGTTTATGATTCTTGAATATAATAATAACTTAAATGCTGTAATAATTGATAAATCAAAGAAACTTATTTTTTAAACCTTTTATAATTCACGAATATGATATAAGAATTAATACATGATAGGTTTAATGAATATATTTGTATAAAGCAAATCCTATTTAAGATTTTAGTTTTTCAAATTATTAACAATACTAATTTTTCACAAATCAGGTCGTTTTGAACAAATATGCCTTAATATTTTCTCACAGCCTCCGCTGGCAGCACTTTTGCGCGAAATCACCCTGTAGTACTTGACAAGCTCCGCCCTCCAGAATCCAGGCGAATAGTTGCAAGGATACTTAGGGGTTGATGAGACTGTGGTATTTCCAATTGGACCGGCGGTGCTATAAAAGACGCAGAATTCCCATGAGATGTTCTCATTATACATTTAAACTTATTGGACATCACAAGCGTAGCAATTGGAATATTTGAAAATATAAAGTTATACAAATTGTAAGGAAAAACAGAAAAATGTCGCGCCATCAATTACCAGATTCGTCCTCATCGCCCCCCATAAGGTGAGAAGTTGTGAATATATCGGAAATCTTGAGAAATCTCTGAAAAAAAGGAAACACATTCCATAAATTCACTTGTTAATTAAAGACAATTTTGATTTATATAAAATTTGATATATCCCTACAAGCCTCCAAAAATTATTTCCGACGGCAATTGAATGCCCACTAAAAGTCATAAACTTTCCCAACAGCCATATACCCTACCATAACTTTGACGATGATCTTATCACTGAGCTGCCCTCCTGCATCTATGCGGGTCAACATCAGAGTAGTGTCGGTGGTGCCGGTGCAGCTGGTGGCATCACGGCTGGCGGCTCCGGTTTGCGTCTCAGTTCCAACAACTTGCGTCACATTCAACAGCATTATTTACAGCAGGGCAATGGTAAGTCAGCAAATAATTTCAATAAATTCGAATTTTCGAATTTTAAATTCCCTTAGGGACATTTACTTGATGTGCCATGAAGTAATCCGATCAAGTGGATATAAGCTTATATTAACTTTGACCGACTATTCCCACAGGAGCTATAATACTGATACTTAAAAAATGCTCAATTTTTCTTTGATCGCAGAAAATATGCTGGACTCATCCACTAATACCAATACGCTGGTAGCGTTAAATTCCAATAACACCACGCCCATGATGTGCAATAGTCCAACTGCTAGCAGTAGCGGCGGCGGCGGTGGCGGTGCAGGTGGTTCAGGTCCTAGCTCGGGACCAGGACCCTCGAGTGCTAGTTATGGTGCAGCGGCCGCATCCAGTTACAAAATCCAACGGCAACAGGCAAATGTGCGGGAAAGGAAACGCATCCAGAGGTCCGCACCAACTGGGTACACTAAATGGTCTTTTCCATTGCACACTTAGCTATGCCCTGCACTTTCTCGAACTGGCCACTAATGAGCTTTTCTTTCTCTATCTGTCTCTCTCTCTCTCCCTCTCTCTCTCTCTTCCTATCTTGCGCTCTGCAGTAGTATCAATTCGGCCTTTGATGAGCTGCGCGTCCACGTACCCACATTTCCATACGAGAAGCGGCTGAGCAAGATCGATACCCTACGTCTGGCCATTGCGTACATATCCCTGCTGCGCGAGGTGCTGCAAACAGACTACGATCCTCTGACCTATGTGGAGAAGTGTCTGCGTGGTGAGATTAAAGCAGATCGCGCCAATTGGAATACAAGCGATTTGACGGCACGTCTCTCCTGGATTAATTGGGAGAATCTGGGCGTGCATCCAGGACGTCGCACTCTGCTCACATCCCTTGCATTGTCCTCGGAACCAATGTGCGGTGCACACTGTGGCATGCCATAAGCCTATTCCAACTCAACTAAGTTGCTCTTGGTTAGGGGAAAGAAATCCTTTGTTTTTGAATGCTAGCAAGGGATATTTCAAATATTCCAACTAGCAGTCTACTTTGAAATTATTAAAGTAATTTATAGCTTAAAATGTATTAAAAAAAATACTTTGTGACATTTAACAAAGTCGGCAGTTCCCGACTAGAGCCTCGTCTAGTCTGGAACTACCGACTAGAGGATACCCTGAACCCACTTCAACCTGCACCAAATGCAAGTGGCGCCACGCGCTTTTTTGCTTTAGCGGTGATAAAAATAAATGTAGAAACAAAAATTAGTTCCTTCGATGGGACTCGAACCCTTAACAGACCACTCTATTTGCCACAGCCTCTACCCAACCGTCATACCACCAATTGACCCTTACCGATAAAAAAACGAAATAAAATAGCAGCACATGTGTGTATGTGCAGATCGTACAGATCGAATTCAATAAAGACCCGCCCAAATGTGTGTGTGTGTTCATGTATGCAGAAATTCTTTCGCCTTGCACCAGCTGCTGCTTACACTTTAATAACACCTGTGTTTCTTAGCCTATCTTCATGAAATGTTCAACTGTTGATAGTTCTGTGCTATAGAATATTGGTATATTCTCAAAAAGACAATTGCATTAAAATTGTCGCTATATAAAACGAAAGATACTTGATATATATAATATTCTAGAAGCTACATGTCCAGTTTGGTGACTCTAGCTCTTATAACTTACAAGATTTGCTCAAAAAGCAGAATTTCGATATCGATTTGTATCGATTACTTGTAAACGGGGCAAGTTATCGGCTATCGGCAAAAACACCTACTGCGCGGGCAGTAGGAGGGCATGTTCAAAATTTCTGAGAAGCTTGCGTTCATACATAGGGACAGCCAGGCGGACATGGCTAGATCGACTTGGCTATTGATGCTGATCAAGAATATATATATACTTTATGAAGTCCCAGAAGCTGTCTGTTACATACACTGGCACAAATACATTTTACCCTTTTTACACAAAAAAAAAAAAAAAATTCTGTAATTTTCTCAACGTTCAATCGGTACGGAAGATCCAGTAAGTCCCTAACTCCAAATAGTGGTCTCCAAAAAGTATGCTATGGAATATAACAATTGATTGAAGACGATCCAATTAGACAATTGATAACAAAAAAATATAACATATCCTATCAATGTCTTCCCTAAAATGTTAGCGAATATGTACTTGCATTTATCTTATAAGTAAATAATCATGATATTAATAAAAGACAATCTCATTTTCTAACAAATAGCAGTAATATTTATTTTAAAAGCATTTTAGTTGCACTAATCAAACAACACTTTGTAGCATGTTTTTAAGTTTGTATTTTTTCGCTGGTTCGTTAGATTTTGCCTAAAAGGCAGACATACGCGATGTACGTGTTAACAAATCAATTCCTCAAACTATATTTTAGGACATATGTATATAAATATATATATATATATATATATATATATTTAGTATCAGTGTAGACAGTGAGTATTTCAAACTATAAATACAAACGTACGTAATAGTAAATAGTTATGGTAATTTCTTTCTTTTTGTTTGTTTGCTTGTTTGTACATAGCTATCAACTAACAGGCATTTGCAACCATTTAACAATTTAAAAGCAGTTTAAAAAATACATTATATCTAGAAGTTTCCTAAAACACACACAGCGGCATATAAAGTTTATATACTACAAAATAAATACTAATATTTTTGATCAACTAGAAAATAAAGAACGTAAGTCGTATGAAATTTACAGACATACAGACATACTTGTGTATGTGACGTTTATCCAGGCGATATACTCTAGATCTATGCGTTATCAATTTAATTTTTTTTTTGGCAACAACTACAACTACTTCTAATGCACGCACACAAAAGTACATGCATAAATTGTACAAATGTGTGCATGCAGTTAAGTTTGTTTATTTTTCGAATTGGAATTTGACTTTGGTATCATATTTAGTTTTGCTTCGAATAATACTCAAAATTTGTTGGCTACAATGAGGCTATACACATATACACACATAAAATGGTACATACAAATACGCATTGGACACATTTAAGCTACATCTCTAATAATAATAATTGAATTTTACGATTGCTTTCTTGTTTTTGTTTTGGTTTTTTGTGGGCCGCTTTTTTTTTTTGTTTGTTATTTTTTCTGTGTTTTTTGTTGATTGGTTGCTTAGTTCCCATTTAGCACGGCTACTTTGCGCAAGCTTTCGAGCTCGCTGCGTTTCAAACGCAACGAAAACATGGCCTCAATAAAGCTATGGCAGTCGGTGACTATGCTATCCTGAATCATAGTGTCGCGAAACAGATTTGCCAGTGCAGCAATATCCTCGCAGCCCAGTATAGCCCTCTTGTGGGTTATAAACATGGCTAGAGCTGCACGAAATACAATCTGCAAAATGCATTTTTATTGATTAAATTCCTAGTGTGCAAATTAATGACTTGCCTTGGAACCCTCGGCGAAAACGCAATCCCATATTCGCAACACAGTTTCCACAGGCAGAACCTCCGCAAATATGCAAATGAACCATTTGCTAGCTATCACCGCGTAGGGCAAGCCTGGAACATTAAATAGAAAGTTTTGTTGTGGAATTTTGCATTTTTAGCGATGGGTCAAACTCACCCAAGTTTTCCACATGCCGATTAACAGCTGGCAAACGCCTTATTACCAACTCCCTAAAAACGGCCAAATCACGCAACAGATTGGCCATGTTATGTGAGTGGTACTGTGGCACAATTTTCTCAACGATATGCTTTAGCAGCCAAAAGGACTTCTCCTCATCATCCGTGACAATGAGCAACAGACCGGCTATATAATTAAGACCTTGGCAATAGCCAACATCGCGATTATGGTGTGCATAGGCGCAGAGTATATTGAAGAGGCGCGCCTTCTTGGAATCAAAATGGATATTGTCGGGAAAAGTACGAGGTAGATCGATTGATATGGAATCGCTAATTTCCTTGTTGAAATGTTCGATATTTAATAAACTACGATATAGATTGGGATTTTGTTGCTTTGCCTCATCGGCACCAGTGATTTTCATCCAAACATCCGCACGATATGGACCTGGTATGCCCTTGCGTATATATCGCTTTATCTTTGGACTGATCACGCTGAGATCTGGATTCTGTTGCAGTATAGCCTCCCATTTGATGCGTCGCCGCGTCAATGTCTTTAAGTAATTATCCATAAACGTTCCGTAGTTCTTATAGTCGAACTTCTCGCCACGCTTGAAGCCGTACTCGTCCACATCGCTGTGTATAAGTGAATTTATAAAATTTCATTTGTAGCCATCATTTGATATAAATAACAAAAATATTTATATGGGCATCACCATCGCTTGGCGAAGACCGGATAACATAGGGGCGTAGTTGTTTACTCTTACCTAAACTTGGAACCTGCGGTCGCTTCCATATGAACTATGACTAGTTTATTGCTCAGTTGCTCAAATTAAACTCTAAATACTTGACGGGCTTAGCCCGTTAGTCAGATATTGTTGTTGTTGTTGTTGTTGTCGTTGTTTCTCAATTGTTCTTCTTGGTTCATGGCCCCCATTAATTGCTTTTTGAAATTGTGAGCACGTTCGCTGCTTCCGCTTTATGTTGCTGCTGCTGCTCTCTCTGCTTCTACAGCGTTACAAGTTTAACTGCAATAAATTAATAAAAAATCAACTACGATAGTTTGTCTATTGACGGCCTAATTTATTTATAAATGCCCATGTCACCTACTTTTTACTGTATGTGTCCTTGAGAATTTGCTATTATGCGCGCTAAGCACCCACGGTTGCTATTGTTGTTTTTGTGCTGCTACTGTTGTTGTTTTTGTACGCGTTCTTAGCGCGCCTCGAGTACTGATAACATTACAAGCTGCAGTGGGTGGCAGGTGTAGGGAAATTTTTGTCACACGCTTTACGTTCCGACTTTCACTCTGCTTGCACTGCGTTATTGCGGTTAGGTTTATTTTGAATGTTTGATAACTTGGTTGTTGTTGTCTGCTTCGGATTTCCAATGGTTTTATTTATGTTTTTTCCTTTTTCTATGCATTTTTTATTATTCGATCACAAGCAAATGTTAATGTTATGTTGACGAATGTTAATGGCTCAGCATTAAAACTTTGTTTGCTTATGGTTATAAGTGCTGGCACTCACCTGCTGACGTCACATTGAGTACATCCTGGACTTTGGTGCCATAATTAAACCAAATTGTATATAACTTATTTCATCTTATCTCAACTTTGTTTTCCTCGCGAGTTGCGAGACCAGGTAACAGCAAGTCTCTTCTTCTTTCATTCATATATGGTAACTCTAATAATAACAGCAATGCAAACCGACGACAACATTAACATATGCTGTTATTAACAGTGAATATTTAGTAATTACTGCATTAGTAGCCCGTTTTCGTATCATGAATAAATTGCATCACTTTAATTTAGACAATATTTGATCAAAAATAATGTCATAGTTTTATTCAATTACTAAATTATAGAATTGCGGCAATTTTGGTATTTATTTAATTTAATTTGAACGAACCTGTTTGCCTCAGCGTTGCCAGATGCAGTCAATCGCCAAACAGCTGTGCAACTGCCGACATTTTGCCGTGGTCAAGCAATCGTACCGTGCCGCTGACACATTACGCAATGTATCAAACAAACTGAGGTAAAAAGCATACAATTTTGTCAAAATACAAATTCCAGTCACATAAATAACGATAAATTTACAGACGCATCGATAAGTTCATACATAGGCTAACTTCAAACAAAAGAATGCTGCGCAAAGCATCGATGATAGCCGCCGCCGTGGCTGTCGCGCCGGTTCCAGAAAATCAATCAGCGAGCAACTCGCTTGTGTGTAAGCCAAGTGAACTGCCCATTTACGGTTCCTTGCGAAAGCCCGTGTAAGTGATTGGAGTGAATTATGAAGCTCTTGACTTATTTTCCCTATCTTGTAGGCCAGAAAAACGTTCAGAGCATAAGCCGAAAGATTCTGCGCTGCAAAAAAGTCTAGAAAACAGCGTTCGCTATGTACGTCTGGAAATGCAGAACGGATACAAGGCAGTGGGCGAAAGAACTGCCGTTGTGAGCGAATATTATAATACTGCAAAGAACCATACACAGCGATCCATCGATTTTCTGAACGAGCCACAGAATTCGATGCACCGCAGTGGCGCCATTGTAATGGGTGGACTCGCTGGTTTTATATTTGCCGCACGTGGCGGATTCTTCAAGAAGGTTGTTTATACGACAATTGGTGCTGGCACCGTCGCATCCCTGTGCTATCCACGCCAGGCGGAGGAAAATGTGCGCATTGTCTTGTACGAGGGGCGCAAGATTTTTGCCGTTGCCTACAACTTTATCAAAGGAGTAAAGCCTGGCGAGGAGATACCAATTGAGCCAATCCAAAAGTTCCCCACAACGCTAAAGGAGCTCAAGTTTCTGGCCCTAGACCTGTTCGACGAGGCAAAGGAAACGATCTTCCCTAAAAAGAAGTAAACATTAGGGGCGACATGCAATTACCAGCGATACGAATCGAGCGCTCAGATGTGTTATGATTTTAATCAAATTTTACTTTTTTAAACCCACATCTATATTTCTGATCTTTATTATACCTCTGTATAGCGCGTAGCAGTTCTCTCTATTGATTCAGTCGGCTGCTGCTTGTAATAAACTCAAGTCGCGTGTCAAAAGTGAAATCCAATTTGTGTTTCTTACAACTGTGCCAGAATCTTGCGCCAATTTCGTTCCCATTGTTGGCCATTGATTTATTATTCAACTGGTGTCAAATGTCAACTTGGCAAAAGTGAAATTCACTCTGCCGGGAACATGTGATATCGATTTACCCCCAGCCGTACTCATCGCTACGTTTGTGCCAATCATTCCCATAACCCTGAGGCTATACATGGTGCTGACTGAAAAGTTAATGAATAAGTCGAAATTGCGGCTGCCGTTAGCTGCAATTGTACATCATTTACGCACTTGTCCATTGGGTAGCTGAAGACCACAGAAAGCCGAACTGAATTGAAGATTGTAATAATGATAATGCATAATTGCTGTGTGCTATATTATTGTAATTGTCGCAGCGAGGGCAGATCGATCGGTATTTTTGACAGTCTAGACATAATCGGAATAGAGCTCACGCTGAGAGCTTTAATATATTTTGAGTAATTTTCTGTTCATAAATTGCTGTACAATGTTTTCAAATCCATGTTGTTTTGTATGGCATCGATAGCAAGTTTACCTTTAAAAAATTACTTGAAATGTTTTCTTCCACTTGATCCAACTTTGACGAAAATATAAAAAGTTGTCCATACCTTTTATCTTTTACACATTATTTTAAACTGAACGTTTTCTTTTTCTCAATATTTTCAATATATTTATTTGAGCTCATCTTTATAAATAAACTTGTTCTTTGGGCAAGATACAACATAATGATGTTTGTATGCAATTTGTTTATAAATTATATAGATTTAGTTAATTGTTAATGCCTAGACTAAAATACCAACAACTGCACAATGAAAATGACTTTTCTATTTTGTTTTTTTTTTCGTTTTTACCACTATATACAAATATCGATGCCATTATATCATTTAGTACGATTCGAATTATGTTAGACAACTTAAGATCAGCCTACAAACAATTTTCGCTAGACTAACTTAGTGGGCTTGACTAAGTGTGTGGGGGCGTGGCGAATTTCGCACAAGTTCGGTCGATGCAAATTGTTAAATTGAAGCTAACTAAGCTTAAGATTCGTTTAAATTAAAATCACACAAACTTAAAGATAGACAACTAATAAATTAAAACAATAACAAGAGTTGAGCATGCACGATATATACGATGCACGATAATTATCATCTGACATGCTCCAGTATCCAGGGCACAAACTTCGAGATGCGCGTACAGACGCCCGGCAAATTGGCCTCGGCGCATCCAATGCCCCAGGAAATGATGCCAGCTAGAAAGAAGCGGCCATTCTGGGATTTGGCCTGTAATTTTAAAGAATAGCCTGAGACCAATCACAATTTATGATTGATATGGGATTTGATTACCTGCAAGGGGCCACCTGAGTCGCCTTGGCACGAGTCCTGACCGCCCGTTTCATAGCCAGCGCATAGAAAGATGTCTGGTATGAATTCCTGGCGACCGGCGCGCAGAAACATGGACTTGCAATTGTCATTGCTCACAATTGGCACCGACACCTACAGAATGAGCAAATGATAGAATACGTGCGTGTGTGTGTGCTAACTCCACTTACCTCCTGCAGCACTGAGGGTAGTGTACCGCCCTCGCTGAGGCGACCCCAGCCGGTGACCGTGGCATTCATACCAATCAGTAGACTCTCCGTTTCGGGCAAGCAAATGGGACTGACATGCGGCGCAAATTCGAGCGGCTGCTCCAGCTTCACCAACGCCAGATCGTATTCGTACGTAAAGAAATTGTACTTCGGATGCACCACCTTCTTGGCCACGCCGCGCTCTATGTAAGGCAGCTGCTCCTGCACATGCGAGAAATCGTATTCGCCCACGCGTATGCGTATCTGCGATATGAGCAGACTGCAAATAGAGACAGAGAAAGTGAAGAAGAGAGGGAGAGCGTGTGAGGGTTCAGTTGTAGCGGAAATTGCAGTCAGTTGTATGCGGTTGCTACTCACTCGTCCACACAGTGCCCCGCCGTTGCTATCCAGTTCTCGTTGATCAAAGCGCCACCGCAGCGATGGGTGCTGGAGAAGCCAAAGAACGAGGTGCGTCGCACAGACACCTGCCAGGGCCAACGACCGAAGGCCGCACTCTTGCCGCCCACAATGCGCGTCTCTGGACGCGTCAGCATCGGCACTCCGCATTCTGCATATGTAAATGTATGTGCAACAACAAGTTAGATTGTGTCAAATGCATTGGGCGTGGCTGTACTTCCAACTTACCGCTTCGTGCAGCCGAAATGGTCTTCACGTGGCCCAGCATGGCTGTGCCGGCATCATGTGTGGAGGAGTCCGTTATCTCATTGGATTCAATACCCGCCGTTGCCGGCTGTTGTACTATAGGCTGGCGTGTGGGCTGCTGCGATGTTGGACTTGGACGCGGTCTGGCCGAGGTTGATGCCGCAGCTGGTTCTGCTGCTCCTGCTGTTCCGGCTGTTACTGTCGTGGATGTGGATGTTGTAGTCGTGCCCGTTGTGGTAGGCCGCTGGTAGGGCTTTGTGGGTTTCCTAGTGGTTGTTGTTGTGGTCGTTGTTGCCTTTGTGGTAGTTGTGCCCTTCGTTGTTATTGTTGCCGTTGATGAGGAGGACGTGGCTAATGATGTGCCAGGCGACAGCTGGAAGGTAGCCAAAAGTGGTAAACATTATGCTAATAGTTACCCAAGGAGCTTAAAATATTTCACATGCAAAGAATCAATTTTTCATTCCACTGCTAAGTCTCTGCGGAGGCCACCATAATGTGAATCATGCAAGTCGATGTTTGAATACCCTTTCGATAAATTAATAGAAATATGTATCTATGCAATTTTTCAGAGGGGTCTAGATTTTATTTCAATATGATTTTAATTACTTTTTTTTAATTATTTCTGATCTATTTTACATAATCGCTGTTTTATATCTTTTTGTTTAAGTATAAGAGGGTTTCTCAATCAAATTAGTTTAAGCACTCTTTTGATACCTAAATCCGTTCCAGCAAGTGCACAACAACACACCCCAGAGACGAACCTCTTGACTACGTCAGCATCGTCGCCAGACAAATCTTACATCAGCTTTGTGCAAACAATAAAATGTCCCCCAAGGCTGTGGCCTGCCACGGCCCTAGTCAGAGCATCAGAGAGCGTCAGGGAGTCCGAGCTGATCGAGGAGTAAATGACCTCGTTGCTCGTTTGTTTCGCTTTCGACATCAGTGCATCACACACACAGAGAGTGCGGCACAGAATGAAGAATTGTGGCAAGCAGACAGAGAGATGAACGACGCGTATTTACATACCTGAGGCCTGGTCGGCATGGGCTTGGGCTTGGGTTTCGGACTCGTCTGCCCCGGCAGCATCATTGTCGTTGACGACGACGTCGTCAGCAGCGGCGTTGGCGGTGGCCGCTCGTAGACAATCGGCTTCTTTGTGGGCTTTGGCGGCTTGGAGGGGCGCATGGGCGCTGGCAAATTGACGATGCCGGGCTTGGTCCAGCCGGTGGGTCGCGGCTTGGTAATAAAGCTTGGCTCGGTGGTCATGTGCCAGTGATGGTGCTGTGGCTGTTGCTGCAGCGTCTGCTGGTGCGTTGATGTATGCCAAATACTATCTGTTGGTGTAATTATTATTTGTTATGAGTCCATAAGTCTCTCATAACAATGCAAGAGGCGCCATTCTATACTCACTCGAACTGCTCGTCGCCTGGCTAGCCGCACTCTGCAAATCTGGCGGCGTCGTCGGCTTCGGATGCGGCCTGGACAGAGTGCCCTGATGTACCGGACCTGAAGGACGAATAACAAGTGTTCCTGCACCATGAGGACGCTCTATTGTTGTCATACCGCTGCATAAAAACAAAAAAATTTGCTATTATCTGATGATTTACTTGTAGGTGTAGAGTTTTTAGACTGACGGATATTTGTGGAAACTATTCAAATATCCCTAAAAAAATATTTTTAATATTATTTCATCTGAAAATTTAACCATATTAGATTTGAGAGACCGATTTTTTAATCCAATGCTGATTATATATCTTGAATAATGTTTTTATTTCTTAACGTACATGTATATACAAGTTTATACTAAATTTAATTTTTCATAATCAAACATTTTAACAATTGATTTACATTTTAACAATTTTTGCCAGCAAATATTGCATTTTTTACAAGCCGTATTTTTATACTCTTTTAGTTGGTATTATAGCGGCCGAGTTGATGTAGCCTTGTCCGTCGTCCGTCCGCCCACTCCAAAAGTTATAAAGCTCCCAAAACTTTGCATAATTCCTTTAGGACGAAACCGACCGGATCTAACCGCTATATCAGATAGCTGCCATAGGAACAATCGGTCGAAAAGTTGGTTCTTGTATGAAAAACTTTTTTGTCTGGACCAAGCTTTGCATTTATTAGTATCACTATGCTTCTTACACATATCCAAAATCTGTAATATCGGACCACTTTATTAGGTAGCTTCCTTAGGAACGATTGATAGAAAATTAAGTTCTTGCATGAAAAACTTGTTTGATAAACAACTCTTATCAAGATCGGTTTACTTTGTTATATAGGAAGAAACCAATATACTCAGCAATTACGAGTTTCACTTTTTTCATATATCTGAATGTATTCTTATTTTCTTGTTCTGTATTAAAGTTGCAATTCTTAAAATTTCGAAATTTTTATTTTCCTTAGTTACACTAAATTGTTCTTTTGGTGCGAATTATGTACTTCGTTACTAGAGTTTGAACCAAGGTATACAATAATCTCAAGTTAATATTTTATTAATATCTAGAGCATAAACGAATTCAAATGTTACGTTCCATCATTCCTATTTTTTTTTTTAATTCCCGCTTTCTAAATTTGTACCTTTTGGCGGCGGTACAAAATAAAATTGTTAGTGGAGAAATTAATTTGGAAAACTCTCAAACCAATAATATGTAAATTTCAAAGAAAATGTGTTAGAGCTGCCTTTGTTTACCCACCTGATTAGCGGCTTGTGCGGCTGTGGTGGCGGTCGCGGCCGCAGTGACAGGGGCTTGGTGGGTCGCGTGTAGGAGAAGGCGGTGTGTGGCAATACGATGTTGTCGGTATAGTTGTGGGCACAGCAGGAGCCAAACATGAACGAGTCAACGCACATGCCCACGTGCTGACCCTCGGATTTGATGCACTCCCAGACGAACATGCAGGTGCCCTCAATGCGTCCAAAGGAGCACGGCTTGGGGCTTATCTTGAAATTGTGGCTGCGCTGTAGGTCTGCTGTCGTATAGTAGCCATCCAGTCGATGCGGACTGCGATAGAAACTCGGCAAGGATGTGCTGTCATCCTCATTTGTGGACTCGTAATCATAGCTGTTGCTGCCGACGTTCCCCCTGCTACTGCCTGGTGGTGTGATAAGCGCCGCCGTCGCTGAGGCAAGGCAATTGACTAAGATTAAGCCTACTAATAATACTTCTACTATTTGGTGTCTGCTCCTCGCTGGTATCGCTGCAGTTGCTCTGTTGACTAGCCAACGCTGTTTGGGCCACATCTTCGGGGCTGCGGTTCTGCCAAAAAAGAAAACAACAGGGCAATTTAGCATTAGACATGTTACCTGCCGGAACTACACTAGAGCAGTGCACATAACACTGGCCATGTTTCAGATGACCCCCCTTCCTCCCCCTACCCCATCCCCGACGCTTTCCTCTTTTCCTTCTGATCCCTACTAATTAAGTGCACTTGTCGCATGTTGGGCACTCCAAGCAACTGCAACAACAACAACAACAATTGCAACAACAACAAAAACGACCACAACAACTACAACTAAAAAACGGGCACGTCGCCTCAGCGATTTCTACTCTTTATGATTGCCAGCTGTGGTGTGCTGCGCTTGTTGTTGTTGCAGTCACAGTTGTTGCAGTTTTTGCTAGACTGCAACACCAGCCAGTGACTGGTTTAATTACAACTTTTCACTTTTGCCTCATAATCAGTTTTTTGTTTTGGCACAACGCGAACAACAAATATAGTAGCAAAAAAAAATTTATTGTGATCGCACGAATATATGTTTTACAACCGACGACACATGCTACAATTAATAATTTTATCTTGTGGCAAGTAAAAGCGACTGAAGTCAGACGTCAGATGTGCATCCCCCAGCCAGGCCAAGAGCTCATCAAAGCGGAATCATTTTGAAATTTTAATTAAAAGTTTACTCAATTCCACACAGAGCGCACGCCATCAAATTAGATGTTTGCGTCTCGGCTGATGCCCCACGCGCAGCCACCCACAAATACAAGTATAATAGTCATATTAGCTCCCTACAAGCACTCATATTGTAACCCAAACTGGTAGCATAGATTGCCTCCACCACCCCCACCTCAACCCCAGTCCCAGGTTGACAACTTACCTGTGTCTGTGTCTGATTAAAGTTGTTTGCTTCATCGGTAACGTGCCGGGCGCATGTCTGGAGTCATGGAGAAGAGTGAAGAAGAAGCGAAGGTTTGTTATTAGCTTATTTTTTCTACGTTTTTGATTTTTCATTTTTTTTTTTTTTCTCTCGGATGTAGAGTGGAATATTGTAGGACTATAATAAGTGGATAACTATAAGTATATACTTCTATATGACTGGTCATGCATGCGGTGCAAGAGCTGCACTTGGCCCTGTGTCCACGCCCACCCACCAATACAAAGCCTACCAAAGCGGTCCACGCAGTTTCAAGTTTTTATCGTATAAAGATTGCGGCAATATTGCAGCTTATAATCGATGAGGAATGATGTTGATATGATGCTGATCTTTTAATGCCTAATAGTAATATATAAAAATGTTTGTACTGACTGACTGATTGGTGATCAGCGCACAGCTCAAGACAAAAAATCTGGGATTATGTGATGAAGGTGCATGTTAAGAAGGGGTTTCGGGAAATTCCAACCGCAGGTGTTTAAGCATCGCGAAAAACGTTTGAATGAAAATTTGTTGCTTACCATCCGATCGACCTTAAACTAATTTTCAAAAATCATTGTTCAAATTAATTTGAGGGGTGTTTCACCCTTTTCGAAAAATGCAGTCCTTCTTGGTGGAAATATGAGTCAAAGATTTAAGTATCGCGCAAATTCATTTCCAAGGATTTATATGAAAATCATTTGAGACGTGTTTCACACAAAATGAAAGCTTCCTCGGTGAAAAGTGCGATTCTACGATTTTTTTTCAAACTTATTTTCAGAGCGCTAAAAACTTAATGAAAACGTGTCTCAGTGATTTGGCATATTTCCCTCGAAACAGTGCTAAATTGGCGGTAAACAGTTTTATGAAAGTTCTTTGTTTACATCCGATCGGATTCAAACTCATTTTCAAAGATAATTGAGAGCCTTTATTTTAAACGTGCCAAGGGCAAGCCCGGGGTGTACCCCCTAGTACTATAATAATCAAAATATTGTTTACGAAACCTTGTGGTAAAGCGGATATTTAAGATAATATTTACACTGTTTATTTATAGAGTTTATTATAAATATGAGTACATACAAAATACATATCTTAAAGCTGTACTCGACCTTATAAGAATCGCAATGGAAGGCGCTAATTTAGCAAAGCATACATTGGGGTAAAAATAAGAGTAACAATGAAGGGAGAGGCACAAAATGATGTTATAAGTACTTGATCATTAAAAATTTGAAAATGAAAACCATGAAAATCGCGCAGAAGAGCGATTCGCATTTAAGAACCAAAGCGGTGGACAAAGGGACACAAGTGTATAAACTCAACTAATTTATACAAATTTGGCCTTAAAGCAATTTAACCTAACCACTTCCGACCCCTTAGAAAAAACTGTAATAGTTGATTCAATTATATGGCAATGTAAGACCGAAAAATGAGTTTTCTTCAACCTGTCCCTAAACTTAATATTGACTGAATTACATATAAATTACACTGATAAATTGAGGTAAAGCACCTAACACTTAATGATTCTAAACTTGACCTAGTTTGATAAAAATATAAACTTGTTATGTACCATGTGTATCCATCAAAATCCGTGTTGAAATTTTTATGATTACTAGCAATTACTGTAAATTATTTACACACTTGGAAAGGCTTGGATTGATGGTAACGCTTATCGCAAATATGGCCAAAAACCCGTTTATCGGTCTGTCTCATCAATTTAATGCCCGGCATTTACGTTAATGATAATTACAAATCTTTTCGAACTGGAACCCAAATAAATCTGCACGTCATCTGCGCGCAGATACAAACAGCTGATGATTGAAACTGAAATTGAGACCGAATGACTTTAATTTCAGTATTTGATCTCTCCGAATCTATTTACCGAATGGCTAACAAACGCTTCCGACTTCCTCAACGGCTACTCAATCGATAACAGTTTAAGACGCCAAACGCCAATCGTAATTTTCACTCTAATAACTTTATTTTAAAGACAGGCACCGGGTCGGTCAGTCGGTCGATCGGTCGGCGATGGGAACTGTGGGCTGCCACACGCCAGTTATGAGCCATTGAGCGCCCGAACCGTTGCAAATTAATTTCGTTACGTTTTCATTTCCTCAACAAAATGATCAGTTAAGTTGCTATTGTTTTGCTTATTTTTGTAGTCGTTTTGTTTTTTAGTTTTGTTTTAACAGAGAGACCCGAAAGGTAATTACCCCGTTTAAGCCCCTGAGAAGCAGAAGCGGCAGCCGTAGCAAAAGCAATCTCTTGTGCTAATGACTATCTTTTAGAGACCCCATCGAAAAAAGACGGGTAGCCACAGACTGACAAACGATCAGACAGAACCAGACCCCAACCCCGGTGCTAGCCAAGCCAAAGGCCAAATAATTTTGTAGCAAAATCTTTTTTTCCTAGTTTCTTTTTTTTTTTTGTTCAACAAAGTATTAGAAAAATGCAGCAACTGACAAACTGACGAGCGCGGAACAGGCCAACGATTGAGGTATACACTACGTGTGGATCACAGCCGATGTTGCAATAGGCAACTAGTTGCAAAGTAATTGTAATAAGAATTGCGCAATTTGCGTCAGTCACTTAACTCCAAAGGCGCAGGCGAAGGCGAAGGCGAAGGCTGCCAACTTCAGCTTCAGGTTCGATTGGGTCTGGCGTGCTGTAAAGTGTGGAAAAGTCACAGCCCGTTTGGTAAATGGTGGGCTGCCGGGCCAACCTGCCCGGTAGGCGTTTTGTCAATCGACAGACGATCGACAGGCGACGGCTTAGATGACAGGCCGCCCAGGCTAATGAAAAAGATAAACAACTGGATCACACGACCACAACAACAAAAGCAACAACAGCATTAGCTTTATACCAGACACGCAGTTGAGCCTCAAGTAAAGTCGGGGCTTCTATCACATACGTTAGATAGCATATGTCCATCTTCAAGTCGACGTCGGCATCGGCATCGGCATCTTTTGAGCCACTCTCTTGTTATAATCACTGCGCGTAACGTAAACACAATTTTTGAGTGGCTTCTCCATGTGAAACACACATGGCCAGAGGCCTGATACGACGACGACGACGGCCTCAATTGATCAGAACAGTGAGCAATATAATTCATTGTACCTATAAATCAACATCGATATTGGTTGGAACAAATTATAATCTCGCTAATAAATGATATGTCGGTAAAAGCTGATTGGAACAGTAATAGAATAAGACTCTATTTAAAATGTAGAGATATCATACCATTTAATTTTATTAACCAGATCAAAACTGAACGAATGTTTGGAATATTTCCAAAAGTTATATTAAAACCTAAGCCTAGATAATGATTTTCTATCTGCAATTTTTTTTATGTAATTGAAAATTTGTTTGTGTCTTGATAATGAATAAGTAAAATACAAACTAAATCTGTCATAAAAAATTCATAGTAGGTTTATTCGGTTATTTTAAGATTATTTCAGTTTATTTTATTAGTATTTTTAATACTTTAATGCAGTTTTGAGGTATTCATTTAGGATATTTTCAAAGTAATATTTTTTTTAAATATTGAACGACACTATTCCAAAAAGTTGTGGAATAATAAAAAATTATTGTATAGTTGTATTTCAAAATCCATTTCAAATAGATTACTTTGATTGATTACATAATTTTACTTATTTAAATTTGCGTTCCAATTGAATTTTCCCATTTCTGAGCTGTCCGTTAACTTGTGGCTATCACTGTTTAGCTATCACATGGCGCCTGTTTGTTGAGCTGCAACTTTGAACGCGGCACATTAATCAATTATATGCGTCAACATTAACACACATCACACATACGCAACGTGAGCCCATCAGGGAAGAGAGTCAAACGATGGATGCTTCAACATTGTTGGGCATCGCTTTGCATGCGCTTTCCACTTGAAGAGTGAACCAAAATAAAAGCAACACGTTTTCAAGCTGTTAGGTGTCATAGTCTGGGCCACATGCATAAATCACTTGGCTGGCGAGTGTCTCTGGTTTATTAACCTGCCTCGACTAATGGTCGAGCCCGTGCTATGCAACCTGACGGCATCGCTGCACTTGAACCTTTGACTGCACCAGTCGTCTCTGGCCTCAAGCCCAATGCCCAATGGCCAA